TAGTTTCCGGTTTATTTTTATGACAATTCTTTGTAGAAATGTTCGTKTAGTATGACTGTATGAGTATCATTCTAATAATGATAAATTCACCGTAATAATGATTGTATTTTATTGCAAGTTATTATTAGTTATTACACGTCATTATCATCAGTATTATCACGCAGGCAAACATAAAGTAGCTAATTGCARAATTATGCGACAAATAAAAATAACACTCTTTGATAGGTATTTGTAAGAATAGCCTTCCGACTTAAATGTATTTTATTAAAACAAAAACTAGGTTAAGGATTCCTTTAAATCCACTTCTTCCGGCGACAAGTTTATTTTATTTCGCGAACGTAACGCTCGAGTCTATAAACGGCGGTTAACGTATAGAACTAAAAATCCTTATATTATATTTTATCATATATATAATATACTCATTATTATATTCCTAAAATGATATTAAATGTATATCTTAGTTAAAGTAAGCAATTATTGTTGTGAMAATTGTTYCACGTATTTATTTGTTCTTAAAAAGTTTGACTTTTAAACAAAATTGTTTTGTTGATTCCCAAAAAATGATAATTTTTGCTTATAGCCGAATAGGTATTTAAGAAACAAATACATTTTAGAGCATGTCTACTCACTCATCATTCAAGAAGTTTTAAATAGATCATTAATATAAATATAATATATAATATTAATATAAATATCGAGACAAAATTTAAATTTAAAATCTTAAATGTATTTAAATATTTTATTTAAGATAACTGTTTACAAGCGGTGTGGTTTACTTATTGGTTGTTTTCTGCAGATTACAAGATTATAAATATAAATACATAAAATAAAAAAATTTTACTTGTAAAAAAGATAATAAAAATACACTCATAGTTAATAAATCAAATTTGTATACCAAACAAAAGACAATCCTTACGTGTTATTTTGTGATTTTTATTACTTATTTGAAATCATTAATACAACAAAAGTTATCAGTATGTAAGGCATGGACATAACGGGTTTTAAAACAATTAGGTACAAGTTTTTTGTATTAATTTTATCACAAGAATGTTGCAACATAGTAAAAATGTTTGATGTATCGTGTATAGGTACATTTGGTTTCTTAACACTATGAAATTATAGTTTAAGTGGTTTAATTTTCACGCGAAATGGTTAGTGCAAACAATTTTTGGATGTTAATACTCGCATATAATTAATATTTAGGGGATGGATCTTCAGCGAATTGTTTTTAATAATTAAAATATATTTCTCCAAGGACCTTGAAAAAGTCGTCGAATTTATCAACCTGTATAATAAGTGATATCGGAAAATTGTTAAACTTGTAAGTTAATTTTTAGTAATTTTTAATAATTTCAAGTGTATTTTTTTAAATAATTTAACTCGTCCAGATAAATGCGATTGTAAGTAAATCTGTTACGCAGTCGATTTTCAATTGTTATTCAATATATTAATATTTTTTATTATACATACACAACGGTTACAGTTACTTTTACACACGTTGAAGATTACGCAATAACGTAAATTGTATTTATATTTTTAGAACGGTATTGACGAAAAACAATTTTTTTTTTTGCTGAAATTATGGTTTAAGAGCAATAGCCAATAATAGTTATTTATTGTAGGTATTGTAAATTATGAAGGTTTAAACAAACCGCCTATCCGTCAGTGGTTATTAAAAATAAACCAGTATTTATATTACTACAAAAATCTACTCGAAATGAACCTAATCTTGGTTTATGTATAAATTTAAAAAAGTAGTGTCGAGAGTCAAGTGTAATCTTAAGCTTAATTCAACACGCGACCAAGTGAGTATACCTAGTTGAATATGGATACCAGTTGGTTGCTGTTCTCGTTCGTTTCTGTCTGCTTATTTTATTGAATAAAAGGTAAGTTAGTGCTTGCATTATTGAAATTCGTTTGTTTATTTTCATTTTCTGAATTTTCTTACTAATTATTATGAAAAAATGTATAATTTAATACGATATTAAAAACACCAACTATAGTTTAGAGGAGATTAATTACCATGAAGTTAATAGGATAAATTATTATAAACATTTGAAATTATTTTTTAATATAACGCCACGTCGTATAATATTATTATTCACTTATTTCATTGTAATTATTTATTATTTGAACAGTCACGTSGTAAATAATTGTATCTATGGCTTATAATATAGTTATTAATATAATAACTTACTATACTTTCGATCACGCAATATCTCTGTTAGCTTAAGTTATTTTTTATTAATCTATTAGAATAGGTAATATTATATACAGCGCATTTTGAAATGTTTAGGAACTATAACGGGTACCTGGAATAAGTTCTAGGCCCTAAAATTGCGTGCAKTAATTTTGGAATTTGATTTCATACAAACAGTAACTGTATGTCAGAACTTATTTGTGATTTTCTTGAAATCTATTAAATTAAAAAAAATAATAATCTAAAATAACTATTTTACAGTCAATAGAGGATGGGTTATGTGAACATTTTTCACATAGCTTTTTTTACTGAGCTAAAAAAGAGTTTTCCCGCTATAACAAAAAAGAATGTATTACAGTTGGCTTTAAGACTGTTAKATTCTTCGTTCTCTTCGGAAATTCGAAAATTATCAATAAGTTGGTATTATAGGACATATTTTTGTTATTAAATATAAAATAAGTATAACTATTATGGAATTTAAACATTTTTTAATATAGAAACACTAGCGTACACCGAGTAGCATACGAGTTACACGTAATTCTTATCATCTATCACTTATCACGGCGTGCATTAGTATCTCCTCACGCACTCCTGATATTAATAATTCTTAAATAGTTGAACTATTAAATCTAATAAACAGTTTGTCCAAATTAAGAATGTAACACATAATAATATAAACAGTTAAAAAAAAAAATCATGTGTGTCTATAGCACAATATACTGGATCTAAATGATCCAAGAAATTATTCAATACTAACGCAAAAACACGMAATTTTAACATAATATTTATCATAACCTTCGAAGCACTGCCCTTCAACACAAACACACACACACACACGATTTGTGTATATATGCACTAGGTACATATATGCTACACACGTACATTTAGGTATATTCAATAGACCAAACGAAAATTAATCTTATAATTTTTTTTTCCGGTAAATAAATTTAAGCAATTATATTTTAAATGTTAGTTATATTCGTTGTACAATGTTTAACGTATATACATATATTATAATGATAGTATATTGTTTGTATAATATATCATCTTGACATAAAATATGTGTTTTTTTTTTTGTTGACAAAACGTGTGAATATATCATTCAAGGAGAGATATGGCTTTTTAACCAACATTGATTTTGAAAAGTACCTATACAGTTTGAATGATGTTTGGTCAATTTTTGTTTGAGTATTTTTTAAGTTTAATTTAAGTACATTTTGAAAATTTTTTCTAGATAGTTAAAAGTTTAGATCGTCACCCCCTTCCCAATTATAGAGTGTATTGTTAACAAGGACTACAGACGTGATTTAAAGACTTATTTAAATGTATTATTCTTCATAGATTTAGAACGATAGAAATTATATCAAACATTGTACAGCTTATAACACAACTATTACGAATAATACAATAATGAGTTATTAAAATGCGTCTTAAAAAGTGCAAACATTCGGTGCGTCTCGGATGATCATTTTAATGATCAAGGTACTTACGTATTGTAAACAATTATATTATTAAAATAATATTATATCTATTGTGATATTGTCGTTCAATCGTATTCAGTGTTGGTTTGTCAATAATATTAGATTATTGCWCTCTACAACTATACACTGCCTAATTTTGTAGCTCTAATATYCGTTTAGTTAATATTATTATAAATCGTAATTTTCAAAAAACAATTCTGCACTTGGCTCGTGATTAAATCCACACATTTTCCAAGTGTTTAATCAAATAAAAATAATTATTATCATTACATAATAATCAATATGACATATATATTTACTAAATCATAAGCTGTCACGTCCAGCTATGACCGTATTAAAGTWATATTAGATGCTGTAAATGCTCTTTATGTTCAGTCGCTATGCCCGTTATGCACTGTACTAAAAGTGTATAATATGTWTAACGCTTTATTGCAGCACACATTTTACGTGATCACAAGCTTTCCTGYAACAGGTACTAAAAAAAAGGTTCAAATCGATTTCRAAAAATTTCAAATCAAWCACAATATTGKACGAGTTTTTTTTAGCGAGGTTAATAATGTGGCAAAAATTATTCAAAGTGTCATTCGAAAAAAGGATTCTGAATATACAATTGCCGCCTATAGATACGATTGATGTGTATATATCCATTTATTTACACCTTCATATTAAGCTTATTAGTTTCAAAAACTTATTTTAAATAATATAAATTAATAAACAYATTTATTTTATTTTTAAATTCTATGTGTAGAAGCAGCTAGGTACGATCATTGCCCCCTCCCTTCCCTATGGTCCCAGGGCCCCACCACAGCTCATAGCTGCTCAAAGCTGCTCACAAGGACGTGCCTGACACCATGGAAACGTGCGGTTCAGGTTTTTATTATTATCCCATTTTACTAGGTATAAACGCTATTAAAAAAAGACAAAAAAATTTCATAAAAAATTTAGCGCGTTATCACACACCACAAACATACACACGCACACGCACGCGGTTCACACGATGTCGACAGCCTTATCGCGTGTGCGTTTAAGCGACTACGACGTCTTTATTACAATAATAATAATATAATGTAGGCACATATCGACGACGACAATGATGATTATTATTATTATTATTATCACACTCTAACGCGACTTTATCATTATTATTATTGTTGTAATTGTCAATAATAATTGTAATCGTGTCGTGTATTATATGCGCGCCACACTGACGGATTTTTTTTAAAAAATTTTTTTTATCGCAAACCGTTTCCATCACCGCCACCGCTTCGTGCCACAGACTCGCGTATCACTGTACGGGTCGGCTGGGCTGCGAAATCCGTTCGGCGCTGCAGCAGGCGTAAGTCCTCGCCGGTCGTAAACCGTATACTACATTATAATATTATCATAAATTATATTTCAGACGTGCGTTTTCGAAACTGCAGAATTCGATTCGAAACTAAATCATTATATTATAGTCCGTCGCCGTTTCGCCGCCGTCCGCGCCCGGGAGATAGTRTATATATTGTTATTATAATATTATATTATTGTTATAATAATAATATATAAACGCTCTCGTGGCTTGACCGAAGACCGTGGTGTGAACAAAAAAACTTAGGCGGACGGCGGCCGACCTCTTGTGCAACATCGCTATAGATTACGCAGTGAYATCCATCCCGACTTCGTCTGCTTCCGTTTCCGATTTATATCGATTGCCGCTGTTTCGTAGTTCTCGTATTGCCGCTGCTTCAGGAGGTGTTGACTCCGCTGGTCGTCTTCTTCGTTTTCAGGTAGAGTTTACGTCAGAAAAATAACACCCGCATCCATCCTTCCCCTCCACCCATAACAAAGGCTTTTTATACGTTTTCTATTTRTGTGTAACGACTATTAGATTATCGTATTCGATGCATGGCAAACGTCCTCAAGAATTCTAGTAATAAACGCCAAAGGGTAGTTATTCATTTTAAATATTTCGGTGCATCAGGCGACAGTGCTTAGGTTTTGATTTCTAGTGGCTTTCTACTGACTCCCATAAAATAGATGACCGATGTGATCTATGCCGACGTGCAGACATCGTGCCATATCGAGTACAGTTTTCGAATAGCGATACCCTACGGTAATGATTTATATTTTA